CCACAGACGTGTCCGTTCTACGAGATGTCTGCGTAGTGACGGGTCAGCGGGGAGCACCCGCGTCCGTCAATATGCGTCCGGATGCGTTCCGGGCGACTACGGCTCTGGGTTCCCACGCAGGCGACGGCGCGACACGACCCGTTAGGGCGCCGCGGAACTCTCTTACGGCGGCGCGCGGTCCTTGAGACGCGCGGGCTGCTGCGCCCAACGTCGAGAGACGGTCGGAGCGTCAGCTTGCCGTCGAGAGGACGCGGCTCGTCGTCGCGGCGGGTTTGGTGGCGACGCTCGCCGAGCTCGAGGATCCGACGACCCAGGTCGTCGGATTCCTCGGAGGAAGTGGGCCAGGGGGAGGTGCGCCGTGCGCTCGTCGGCCGCCGCCGCACCGGTTGCGTGAGGTCGACGAGGAGCGGCGAAGGGGGAGGGAGGGACGAGAGGAAGGCCGTCAGTGGGAATTGGCACCGGCCAATATCCCCGATTTCTTCGGAGAAGACAGCCGGAGCAGGACTCGCGAAGCAGCGCGAATACAGGCGCTCTTCAGGAAGAACCAACGCAGAGTGGTTCGAAAAGTGCTAGCCGGTACCGTGGAGTTCTGCGACTTGCCAACCGAAGTGGTACAGGCGCACTTCGAAGAGCTATATCGCGGAGGGAACGACTTGCGGAGAGCCGAGCCTGCGGAGCGAGCCGACGTCTCGGGCGGGGACGGCGGTGCCGCCGCGCTGGTGGAGTCGTTCACGGAGCGAGAGGTGTGTCATCGGCTCCGGCGTATGAATAACTCTGCGCCGGGCCCCGACGGCACCACCTACAAGGACCTCCGTGCGACCCATCGGTGCGGCTGCTCGCCGCCCTCTTTAACGCATGTTTGCGGCTCGAGGCAGTTCCTGCCGTCTGGAAGACCTCCAACACAGTGCTGGTGTACAAAAAAGGTGATCGCGGTAATTTGAACAATTGGTGCCCTCTCGCGTTAGGGGACACCCTGCCCAAACTCTTCGCCGCCGTGTTGGCCGATCATATCACCAAGTGGTGCGTGGCCAGCGGGAAGCTCAGTCCGGCGCAGAACGGATTCCTAAGGGACGAGGGGTGCTTTGAGCACAACTTTGTCTTGCAGGAGATCCTGACTGATGCTCGGAGGAGCCACAGAGAGGTGATAGTCGCGTGGCTGGATCTTTTCAACGCGTTTGGATCGGTTCCCTACGCGGCGATCCGCCGCGCATTGGTTCGCGCGGGTGCGCCGGCGGGCCTCATTGCCGTATGGGGCTCGCTGTACGACGGTTGCACCACGCGGGTGCGAACCGCCGACGGCTTCACCGCGTCCATCCAGATTCGCTCGGGTGTACGCCAGGGATGCCCGTTGAGTCCAATTGTGTTCGACCTCGCGATCGACTCCGTGCTGCGTGCAGTCGCGACTGTCGATCTCGGAGTCGAGCTCATGTACTCGCGGTGGTCAGTAATGGCCTACGCAAATGATCTGGTACTGATCTCCAGGATGCCCAACGAGATGGAACGACTGATCGCAGTTGCGGTAAACAAGGCATCGTCGGTCGGGTTGCGGTTCAACCCTGCCAAATGCGCCACCCTGTACATCGGTGCAGGCAGAGCGGGTAGGGTCCGACCGATGACCCTCCGGATCCAGGGCCAACTGGTCCGCGCAATGGCCGAGGGCGAGGCTTATGAGCACCTCGGCATTCCGATGGGCTTCGGGGTCAACCAGACTCCGCATGCCGCCATTAGGGCGTTCCGTGATGACTTGGCGTCGGTTGAACGTTCCCTCCTTGCCCCCTGGCAGAGGACTGAGGCCGTGGCGACCTTTTTGTTGCCGCGGCTCGACATTTTGCTGCGAGGAGCCGCAGTGGAGAAGGGCCCCCTCAAGGAGCTCGACCTGCAGATCCGCAGGTCTTGCAAGACGTGGCTTAACCTCCTTCAGAGAGCGAGCGCTGAAATCTTCTACATGCCCCCTCGCAAGGGGGGATGTGGGCTACTTCTCCTAGCTGACCTCGCCGACGTCCTTACGATCGCGTACGTCTTCCGTCTTTTGACGGCGGACGACCGCCTGGTCAGGGACCTGGCTTGGGCGTCTCTGCGGAGAGTGGTTGCGCGCCGCGTCGGCCACTCCCCTGGTTGCGACTAGATCGCCGCCTTTCTCTCGGGGTCTCTCGTGAGAAGGTTGAGGGGGGAGGGGAGTGCTCCCTGTGGTCGAGGGCTCGGAACGCCGCGCGTCATCGATCGGATCGCTGCGCCATCCAATGGCTGTGGAGCGAGGAGCGCCGCGAGCTCGTCTTACAATGTCGCGGTTCACGGGGCAGGATCACTAAGATCCCACCTGGGGCTCGGGCCCAGGTGATCGGATGCCTGCGCGCTGCGGTGGCGGAGTGATATGAAACGACCTTGATGCGGAAACCAGACCAGGGGAAGGTGTTCGAAGTATCGTCGCGTCATCGAGTGAGCAATCACTTTATGCGAGGCGGCAGCTTCACCCGTTCCGCTTATTGGCGCTTTATCCACCGTGCTCGTCTCGACATGTTGCCGTTGAACGGTGCCCGTCGATGGGGAGACGGTGATAGATGTTGCCGGCGTTGCGGGGTGGAGTCCGAGACCCTTCCTCATATGGTCTGTCATTGCGGACCCCACTCCGCCGCGATACAGTGGCGTCACGACTCGATCCTGCTCCGACTCAACAGGGCTTGCCGCCTGCCAGGGCGCGTGACCGTGAACCAGCGGGTCGATGGCCTCGAAGGGGAACTCAGCGAGCTACGGCCTGATCTTGTGAACAGGCACGAGCCGTCGAAGAGTGTCGTTATTTGCGATGTCAAGATACCCTTTGAGAATCGGCCAGTAGCGTTTGATGAAGCTAGGTAGCGTAAACTCGCTAAATACGCTCCCTTGGCGGAGGCGCTCGGTCGATTCGGGTACCGTGTCGTCGTGACGGCCTTCGTCGTCGGGGTGCTCGGCTTCTGGGATCCGTGCAATGAGCCGGTTCTGAGACTGCTGCACATTGGCAGTGCGTACGCGTCCATGATGAGCTGGCTCATCGTGTCGGATACCATACGCTGGTCTAGGGACATCTACGTGGAGCACGTCTCTGGCGTCCGCCAGTATAGGGCTTCTCTACGCCGAGCCGATGACGGCGTTCCCGACGTCTCGCCGCTGCGCGCGATTCGCCGCCGTGTGGCCGGCCCGTGAGCCGACGAGACAGCGGGGACTTGAATGTTCGTATGAATGAATGTCGCGTAGGGCCGCCGACTGGAGAGGTGTCCCTGAAACAAAAGAAATAAGTCTTAATTTTATGTTATTTAGTTATTTATTTTAGTGTTTTATTTATTTATTTATTTATTTGTATCCTGTCCTCTGAGATATTGACTGTCGCGGGGGCGGCGGATGTGCTCCGCCGTCGCGCCCGCGGCTGATGTATTTTAAGATGACGGACTGAATTTTTATATTATTTTTATTTTTATTTTAATTATTTATTTTTATGTGTATTGTGTCGTCTGAAATGTGGACTGCCGCGGGAGCGGGGACGGATGCCCTCCGTCCCTGCTCCCGCGGCTGAAATATTTTATGACTATAGACACAATGTATGCTCACATATTTAGTTAGTGGAATGAGCTTATTTATTATATTTCATGTAAATGGAAGGTGTGAATGTGAGACACGTTCTTACCATTAGCGAGTGCATTCCCAGGTCCCTCTTCCAGCTCGGTGAGCCGTCGATGTGTGTGTCGCGTTGAGTATCGAGTGTGGATGTCCCGTAATAGTAGATTAGTCATAAAGTCGGCATTATAGCAGAGGTGTCTACTTCTCTCGCTAGCAGGACACAAAGCGGGTGATCCTGCAGACAGTATGTTATACAAGTATACAAAATAGAGTACGTGGATGATGAAGCGCATTGCCCAAGCCTGTAGCTTGAGCAATATTTCTATTTTTCGTACGTGCGTATGTATGATATGCGTTTTACTGTCCACTGTCGGGGGGGGCTTGACCCCTGACCCTATATTATATATTTATATATTACCCGCTTTTCTTGCCCACTGTCGGGGGGGGGGTAAATTGTCTTCCGACAATGAATTATTTAAAATATGCGCCTGGCCTAGGCCTGAAATAATATTGTAATTACCCCGGGGGGCTTGTCCCTCGGGGAACATTTATTGAAAATAAATTCGCAACTAATATATAGTATAATATATAGTATAGTATTATAGTAATAATACATTAATACATTTATTAGATTTGTTATATTTATTCATTATGTAATATAAGTTGTTATAGTAATATATTTCTATACTGTAGACATTTTAATATTAAATTTGTTATACACATACATTCTTAATTCATTACGTAAGTAAACCAGGACACGAGAAATAATTGTAATGTTTAAAATTAAATTACGTTTTAAAATACGTTTGAAAGAAAATTAAAATTTCTAATATAAAATCAGAAATATTTCTTATGTATATATGATAGGAAAAACAATATTTATTATATTGTTTTTGATTATTTGATATTATATTATTTGATATTATATTGAATAACAATAGTTATCATTGTATGGCATTTTCCACATCTTAGCTTGAATTTTTTCATATGGCCATACGTGAACGCGATCTTCTTCAATCACAACTTGAATATTAAAAGTTTTTGACTCGCAAGGTAACAGGTACAAATTTTTAACAAATTTTAATTTTTGACGAATAATTAATTTTGTAGTATCTTCACATTCTACTAAGTTTAAAACTGAAACTATGTTTCCATTTTCTAAAAGTACACAATTATTTCGTTGATTATTGCAGTGGATCGAGTATGAATTAATTTGAAGTATTTTGAATTGAGAAACAATATTATATCCATTAATCAGAGGTCCGGTTTTATGAGATTTCTTAAATTGCATATGATCATGAAAGTTAACACGATTTGAGATCTTTAAGGGGTAAGGCCACTCCAGAATTTTCAAGAAATCGATTTTTTTTGTCAATATGTTGCCTTGAAGCCTTAAGAATAAGAAAAAAAATGTTTCATAGACCGGAGAAATCTCAAAGAGGTCGTTTTCGAAGGTTTTGCCAAGGCAAAACGCCAAGGCCCGCTGCGCGCTCCAAGCGCTTTTGGATCGATACAGCGCGCTTGAATTTAGACCTTAGTAATCCTCTTACCTGTTGAGAATCACTTATTTTCGGGGTTCTAGAAAAGAATGGGAACTCGGCTAAGAAATTTGAAAAAAGAAGTAAAAGGTCTTGGCGGGAAAGGAAAATTGACAGGCAAACTCATTGATGAGCTTTCAATGTACTACGGCTTGGCCATCCGCAGGAATCAAAATTCAATAGAAAAGATGAGAAATGAAATTTGGGCAACGTTGTACCACAAGCTGTCGACAAATGAAAAGCCACAACACGACAAGTGCCCGTCCGGTGAAAGTTCGTGGTGTTCGTGGCAAAAGGCAAAAGCCACCAATACTTTAAATACTTATTCACACAAGCAAGCTCTTCCACAAACAGTTTTTAACGCCATGAAGCCCATCTACGAAGAGTTGAGCAGTGATGACCTTCTTACACGGTGTTTAGGTGGCTTCACACAGAACAGCAATGAAAGCTTCAATGCTACGGTTTGGTCAATAGCCCCAAAATCAACATCAAGTGGGAAAACTGTTCTTAATTTTGCAGGAATTCTTGCTGTGTGTATCTTCAACGATGGAATAAGCAGTATCATGCAAATTATGGCAGTTTTAGGCATGACCATAGGGCTGAATTGTTATATAACTTCTGCATTGAGGCGGACGACCGTCGCATCGAGTTATCTGACCGATCGTTGACTGAAGCTGCAAGAACATCTCGGCTTGCTTTAAAATCAGACAGGAAGAATGAAGAAGAGAAAAATATCAATTTGGAAGGCCAATTATATGGTGCAGGCATTGCAGATTAAAGGTATAATAAAATTTTCTGCTATAGAATGTTATTCAAAACTTCGAACACGCTTTTCTAAGAACTGCATTTTTCTAATTGGGCGAAATGATAACTCCTACAAATCTTTATCGATTCTCTTGAACTTTTGAGGGTGACTTTTCAGATACATTATCTAGTGGATAGTGTACAGATTTTGCAATAAGTTATAAATTTTCATTTTTATAAACAATTTTTCGGTGAAAATTTTGGGTGAAGAATGAACTTTTCCTAAAAATGTGCACCATTTTTCAAGAAAACGGTATTTTCAAATTTCCGTACGCTATCCAGTAGCTTTTGGCATATATTGCTTAAAAATTTTTGGTTTTTCGTTCTAGGTTGAAATCTGCGAGAGCAAACGTTTCGCCCGTTTAAGGCCTCGCATGAAAGATGCCTTGCAATCTTGGGTTCTGAAGCCGCCATTTTAAAATAAAAACAAATAAGAAAATATTTTCTTACACTTAAATGTGTGTTTAATAAAGTACCTTAACTGAATTTTCCAATGCTTTTATTAAACTCTTGAAAATAATTCCCGAAATTAGCCTTTTTTTCTGGGACCTGGAGTGGCCTTACCCCTTAAATCGAACATTTCTATTTCGGTGTACCGCTTTACAAGTTACTGAAGATGTTTATTTGGTTTGAGAATCAATGTTTTAATATATGTCATGTGATTTTCGAATGGAAATGCACTGAACTCATCTACGGGTACATACTTTTTAACGTCTGCACAAATATGTAATAAATTATAAGAAACATATTGTTCACTATAAATTTGAGTGAATATATTGACAAAATACTCTAGTAAACTTTGCGCATAATCTATATTATCCATATATTTTGAAAGAACTGGGCTTACAAGAATTGTCATCGCAATATATAAACTTAAGAAATTTAAATATTAGGAGCGCAAAAAAGTTCTGAGCCCTAGATTTCATACTACTGAAACCACAATTTAAATTGCATTAATTTTCCCGCCCTCTTTGCGGTTTTAAAGCAGTGACACTTGGTCTTTCGAAACATCATGCGATTTGGCGTTTGATGCACATAACCTTAAAATCAGCAGTGTTCACGATGGCAATAACAAAAGAGCATATTCGATTTTCCATCTACTTCGCGTTTCATTTGAAGAAAAATGCTGCTGAAGCCACTGAAATGATCTGTGTTGCATATGGAGAGAACGCTGTAAGTTATGCTACGTGTAAAAGGTGGTATCAAAAATTTCGCCAAGGAGATTTCAGTCTTGAAGATGAACCGCGTGCTGGACGCCCTCAAAAGATTGAAACGGACGAACTGCAAGCATTGTTGGATATAAACTCTGCACAAACTGAAAAGGAGCTTGCAGAGCAACTTGGCGTTACGCGACAAGCCATTTCCACACGTTTACATGCAATGGGAAAAGTTCAAAAGGAAGGCAGATGGGTTCCGCATGCACTGTCCGAAGACAACAAAAATCGATGGCGTGACACGGCACTCACTTTGCTTTCAAGGTTCCGGAAAAAGGATTTTCTGCACCAAATCATTACAGGTGATGAAAAGTGGATACTTTATGATAATCCGAAGCGTAAAAAATCATGGGTTGACTCTGGTCAATCTTCGACATCGACGCCAAAGGCCAATATCCACGCCAAGAAGGTTTTGCTTTGCATATGGTGGGATTGGAAAGGTATATTGTATTACGAGTTGTTACAGCCGGGTGAAACAGTAACGGCAGATCTATCAGCAACAATTGAGCAATTTGAGCGATGCGTTTGAAGAAAAGAGGCCATTTACTGACAAAGGACGTCGTAAAGTGATACTTCATGACAATGCCCGACCACATGTTGCGAAAGTGACTCAGGACCATATCTTTGCGTTAGGCTGAGAACTTCTCTCGCATGCAGCGTATAGCCCAGACATGGCGCCTTCCGATTACTACCTATTCCGGTCTCTGCAGCATTTCTTGGCTGATACACATTTTGTGACACTTGAAGAGATACGAAAATGCATTAATGACTTTATCGCCTCGAAGCCGGTGAGCTTCTGCCATCAGGGAATTCGCAAGCTGCCCGAAAGATGGCAAAAGGTCATCGATGCAAACGGGGAATATTTCGTTGATTAATGTAGTTTTGTTTGTTTTTAAATAAATTTTGAATTTTGCAAAAAAAGGCTCAGACCTTTTTTGCGCTCCTAATAAATATCTTTTTTTTAAATATTTTTTAGCACGACTGGACCAGTATACAGGAAGAACTGTCGAAATTCAGTTGCTTTTCACAATCTAAAACCTGTTAAATATCTTGGTCTTCGATGATACTCGGAAGACACTATATTTGGTAAATTTATTAACGCTTGTGATATAATTTCTTTCATATGATATGAAAGTTTCACTGAACTTGGTCCAATATGCCAAAATAAAATTAATTTCTTAACAACTCCTAAACATATTAGATGCATATAATCCAGCGGTATTTCTGTTACAGGTTTGAAATTAGGAATGTTATTTAATATTGTTTCTCCTATCTGATAATTGTTATATTTATGATTTATAAAATCTTCGTCAGTTCGTAAAACAAAATCGGGATTTGTTGAGGGAAAACATATTTGTCCATTAATGTACTTCCCTTGAATAGTACATTTTGTACAACTGTTGTGATTATTATGATTTTTAATATTTAAAATAAAAGATTTAGCTGGAGCATCACATATTAAAGCATGTACCTTAATTTCAATATTTTGTCCGTCATGAATTAATGGATTATTTGTGAGAAAAATTGCTTCATCAACGAACTTTTGCAGGAAAATATTATTATATGCAGGTTTTGCTTCACTATAGTACGCCCCAACAATATATACCAATTTCGTAACAAAATCAAGACAAAATAAGATATTAACCACAAAGAAGCATTACCAGACTTCACTATCGGTAGTCCATCAATATTTATACAAACTCTAAGAATATTAGTTGGACCAACTTGTTCTATATGTTTCTACAGCATTTTTGTAAGAGCTCTCTTAAAACCAAAATGATAGTATTGCATTTCTGCAGGAATACATTCGACATTTCTGGGAGTATTTAGTAAAGATCGTGGATCTTTGGGAAATGGTAAACCTGTATGTTTCCGTAAAATAACCAATAAATTAGCTAGAGTTTTGTGATATATGATTATTTATATACCAGTGACACAAATATTTTTTAAATTTATCATAATTTGCTAAATTTAGATTGGCAATTATATCCGCACATTCACTTTCTAACTCAAACTTTTCTATCTCATTTTTTAACTGTAAATCCACAACTTCACAAAATAATTCAACATTATCAGATTCACTAGATGAATAAATATTATTAATAATAACAGATCCAACAATATTATTGCATAAATTGTCATCATCGCTATCATCCGAATCAGTACTTAATTTCGGAATCATATTGGTAATATCATATTGATTTGTAGATATTAATTCGGGACTGTTGTCATCAGCGGAAGATATATGATAAGCACAATCTGGTTTTGGCTCACAAGGGAACCCTTAGGCCTGTTAATAAAGAATTTTGATGGCTCTCGAATATACTATTGTACAGGGACTTCCCCTGTGCATGAAGGTCAAAAGGTTTTCCTCAATGGGCCTTAGTTTCGGAGAAAAAAATTTTGAAGTCCCACGCGCCGTAGAATACTCGGTACGTAGCAGCAACTTTCGAGTCAGCGGACGTGGCGCAGTGACTGCGGTTGCGACTAGTACGCTATAGGACCCAAGTTCGGTTCTGACCATTCTTTTTTTTTTATCAATTAGCAAGAAATGTTCACAAGATACCAGGTGTGTCGGTAATTCCTTTCCGGTTTTTTCGCTAAAGAAAACACGTTATTTACAATGGATAGTTAAAATATATTTATTCAAAATATTGGCCATTTGATTCTATACATTTTGCCCATCTCTCAGGCAATTTATGGATGCCATTCCAAAAGAACTGTTTCTCCTTTGAGCTAAACCATTCATCGAGCCATTTTTTAACTTCTTCGAAATCGGCGAAGTACTGCTCTGCAAGCGCGTGCCCCATCAATGCGAAAAGGTGGTAGTCGGATGGAGCCAGGTCTGGAGAGTACGGCGGGTGCGATAAAACTTCCCATCCAAGTGATTTCAACACTTCTTTAACTGGTTTTGCTGTATGAGACGGCGCGTTGTCATGCTGCAAAATCACCTTATGTCTTTGAGCGTATTGTGGACGTTTTTCGATCAATGCACAGTTCAAATTGATCATTTGTTGTTGGTAGCGATCAGTATTAACTGTTTCTCCAGGTTTCAACAGTTCATAATATACGACACCAACCTGGTCCCACCAGACACAGAGCATGGTCTTGCGACCAAAGCGATTTGGCCTTGCAGTCGATGGGCCACCTTCGCCAGGTGATAACCATGATTCGTTTCGCTTGGGATTTTCGAAATAAATCCATTTTTCATCACCCGTTACTATTCGATGCAGAAATGACTTTTTTTCATACCTTTGAAGCAGCATTTCACTGACGATTTTTCGATTTTCCAATTGCCTGTCATTCAATTCATGTGGCACCCATCTTCCCATTTTTTGGATCTTTCCCATCGCTTGTAATCGTTCACAAATTGCTACTCGGCTCACATTCAACTTTTCTGCCAATTGTTTTTGAGTTTGTGTTGGGTCTTCATCCAATAACTCCTGTAATTCCGCATCTTCAAACGTTTTCGGCCTACCAGGACATTTTTTGTCTTGAACGTTGAAATCACCATATTTGAATTGTCGAAACCACGTTTCACATGTTCTTATGGTTGGAGCATGCTCACCATAAGTCTCTACTAGCAAACGATGACTTTCAGCGGCTTTTTTCTTTTGATTAAACAAGAAAAGTAATGCATGCCGCAAATGCACGTTTTCAGGCACAAAACTCGACATTTTCAAAAAATTATTAATCTATAACGCTGTTATTTTGGCGGAACGTAACTTGTGTAGTTTTGAGGTTAATGTCAGTAGAATAAAATGACATATGTATCAAATCATAACATTGCATACTTATGGCTAGTGACATCTGTTACAAAAACCGGAAAGTAATTACCGACATACCTGGTATATCGTGATATTCGTAATAAGTAAGAACTGTGTTATGATTATGTAATATTTAATATGATTGTATTTAAGAATACATACTTTAAGAAATTTTCTTTTTTTGGTCACGCAGGGGAAATCCTCATGGATACCCCTTCATGGAAACCCCTTGGGGGGTCGGGGGTTATGCCGGACTCTTACCGGTTGAAACCCCTGCAGGGTGCCTACCGCTCAGACCGAAGTGGGGGGAGTCAGGGGAACTACGCCTGTATTCCCTCCCCGACACCCCGGCCCCAGGGCTCTCATGGAGCCCCACGTCCAAGTACCACGCCCCTCCCTTTGGGAGTCATGGGCGCGGTGCTCCGCCCGGTTACCCAGCCGTGTTGGCCTT